CTATTACGTTTTGCGTATAACTAAGCAATGTACAATATGTATTTACAATGTTTAAATAAGTAACTACGTAGGTGGTTGGTAGAACAATTGGATCGTACGGTTTGATAGAAGCACACATAATATTATTACCCGATCCATTCTTAGATAACAAGGGGTTATATTGTAGGAGACCTTTTTATTCATTCATTTTCCTCAAAAACCTTTTGGTACATGAATATTTTCCCGCGCTATTTACGGGTTTGCGGATAGACCGTAACAATGTTGCTTGCTAACGTTTTTGGTTTCATTCAACACAAATAAACTAATGCCGGTTATATTGCAGCGTATTTCTGCCCAACAAGCAATTTTTCTCCGGGTAAAGTGCACCTCTGGTCCGGGTTCGATGCTCGGGCAGCGCGCCAAGTAGCGCGGCGGGTCGGTAAATCACCCGAGCGTACCAGGCTCGCAGCGCGTCGAGGAGCTCCCAATCAGCCGCCCTATTGACAAACATACGGCTGGAGTATAATGGAATCCGTCGCGATTTATCTACCACTGAGCAATTCATCTCTTTCCTTTGAAAACATTCTCTTAATTTAAGTTGACGTTTATAATTATACTGAAATAGGTTTATTTATGACTTCTAATCAGTTACAGAGTGATTATTGTTTGTTTGGAATTCCTTTCATTCAACTCTTTTTCATTTTAGCTGTTATCGTTTTATTTGATTTTTGTTTAGTCTCGGCTTGGTTTTTGTAATCTATTATTAATCTGCTACAAGAATTACTACGATTGTTAGTAATTATTTTCAGGGGCAGCGTAATAGTTACAGTACTATTAAAATTATTATACACCTACACAGTAAACTATGTTCATTGGAAGTACTTACATACGCTTACGCACTCTGTATTGGCGTAAACGAGTAAACTACACAAAGAGATATTTTCTGCTCCGCAATACCTTCTAGTACTTCATGAAGCCCTAGTACCTATTTTAGTAGAATTGGTAATCTTTAATAGTGGCACTTATTTACTGGCGACTTATGTAGCAAGCCAATTAACTACCTAGTTGAATAATAAACGGTAGTAAAAGATAAGGAACTTTGTACTCACTTTATTTTTATTGAAGTACCTAGTTTCTTATTCATAGTAATTTCGTTTCAAGTCTTAGTACAAAAAAGAAAGGTCATGATGTTGTTAGTTAGACTGTAAATTTATAGTCTACGAGCAATTAATTTAGTTGCTTAAGCATCCCAACTAGTAGTAATTCAATTGCTTTTAATTATGTGTTGTTAAGGGCCGCCGCAGAAATAGCAGTGAGAAATAATTTTATATTATCATGTACGTATATATTATTTATTGAACAAAAAGATTATCACAATAGTCGCTAGCAATTAAATTGAATATCCTATTGTTATTCACGAGGATTCCGTTTTAATTTACATAGTCATTTAATTTGGAAATGAAATGAAGGACCAAATAATTTAAAACAATACATTTTTCAATTTTATGAAAAGATAATAAAGAACTAAAGGTTTCTCATATAAGATATGAATATCATTCGTTTTTGATTAATCACAGAATATGAATATGTTTCAATTTTTCTTCTGTCTTTTATAACCGCTCTCAGACGCAGACTGGTTCTCTATCAGACAAGATCTATTAAAATCATCATATAAAACGTTTCCAAAAGCTATATTTTGATTGAAACTCGTTTCACGATTATTTTCGGCGTATAATAACTTAAATGCTTCACCTTTCAAATTCCCAGCCGTGTCCTGTTTTAAATTAGATTTTGCGATCTTAATAAACAAGATTGCATTATTAATGTAATATTTATAAACAGATTATTGGATGGTAAGCGGATTATTTGTATTCAATTTGGTTCGTAAAGTTCTTTGTTCAACCTCATCGCACAATATCGCTGCCGGCGTTACGGTAGGTATGCGGGGTCCACATTTCCCCATGAATCGCTTTTCAACGCTTATGGACGAGGGGAAACTTGTTGAGAGTCTCCCGCGACTGGAATCCGAAAAATACAGTCTCATTGGAGGGAAATGCGCCAAAAATATCCTCTTACATTCGCACACTTTTATTTTATCTCCATTGTTCTGGGTGCTTGTTATTAAAACCGCATTTTTGCAAGTTTAAAACCCTTGTGGCCAATTCTATCCTCGTAAAGGTCTAGTTGAAATAAATAGATACCTTCTTAAGATAATACAGTCCTTCCCTATTAAAAGGATGACACATGTAAGGCAAGTGTGTTCGATTCCAAGAATGAACAAATATGTATTAAAGTTCACGTCTGGAACCGCTAATTAAGTGCCAGTGTAATTGGTTTGGATATTAAGTAAATTGCAAGCGTTACTTGCAGCACAAATTGCTTCGCTTTTATGTCCTGGGACCCGTGCTTACCCTTTAAAACGTGTTTTAAATGAGATAGTAACGATTAAAGTGCTTATTATTTGCACATTCATAGCGTATTTCATTGTAAAAAGGGATGAAAGATATTGGTACTTGGAACCGTCAAGATATTTCGTTTTTGCTGCCTGTTTTGCATACTTTATGTGTTAATGAAAACATAATACTGAGTAACAACTGTGAATACTAGGAAGCCATACTTTTATCGAGAATAACTGTTTATTTTTTAAATAGGGCAAATAATGAAGTCATTCAAGTATAGCTTACAGTTTGTGCAGGAATGAGGAGACTAATTCCTGTACGAATGTCGCGATAAATCACAGATCTTAAGTCAGAGTTCCCTCCATTACTCCCTGAGGATCTAGTAACTTAAGAGTTCTATAAAGGGCCGTAACTAATACTGTTGTTAACCTCTCCCAACTAATCTAAATTTGCTAGAAGCGACTAGGTTGGGCTACAATAATCGAAATACTATTTCAATAAGTTAAGGAGTACAAATAGACTAGAGATTCCACTGCCATTATGTCGAGCGTGCGTGAGTCATTCGCTTTATCGTTTAGACAATATTTGTTCTACTTTGTTTTGTAGACCTGAGATTTCAATGACAACAATGACATTGTGATGTTCATGTTCGCAGGTTTTAGTAAAGCAACAACAATTTGCATTTTTAGTCCTAACCATTACACAATAAAATTCATTCTTCCTTGAAGGAGTAATAAACGTGCATTAATATTTACTGAATAAGTTTCTATATTCTTAAGATATTTTCACCCTAAGCATGTTTTTCATATACAAGCAGGGTACTTCTCGAGTAAATGCTGAAGCGTTTGTACCAGGCTCGCATAAGCACGCGCGTCATAAAAAAGTTACGAGGAGTTATCAAAAGGGCGCAGTAAAGCCGGCATCGTCGCCATCGCTATAAACTGCCCGGTCTATGTAGGGTTGCCTGCCATACACAAAGTTTTCCACACTACTTAGAACTTTCGAAAAGTGCTTGGGGACATAGCGATACCGTCGAGAAAAAATGTTAGAAAGGAAATCTTGTGAGTTATTTCTACATTTTACTTATTCTAGTTTTCATGCTATTCTGGTAACGTAATAGAAAAGTACAGCTATAAAACTGTTCACTTCATTGATTCTTTGTTTTCAAAATGTGTTTTCATAGGTAATGTAGTATAGTAGTACTTTATATCGATAGGCAATATTTACTGCAGAACCTAATATGCCACGTTCATCAATCAAAATGACTGCATTATCTGGTAATACTGTATAATCTAATCAGTACAGTTTGATAAGTAGTAGTCAACCCTAGTGTTATAACACCCCTATTGCGCTGTTTTCCTATTAAATTAGATACTGGTCTATTCGGTCATAAAGCGAGCCATGTTTAAAGCCATTTAAATTATGTTACATTTATGTATACGGTTAATCAAAGACGTTGTTTATATAGACATCATAATTTATAGCAATTATCAAATTGAGTATTGCTGAATAGTAGCTCTCAGTAACTGCAGTTAAATTGAGGATTTATTGATTGAATTAGTGAAGGGATTTGTGTACAGGAATGTTTACCACGGATAAGTAGTATTTAGTCGGGAGTGACGTCGTCGCCTCGTTATGCAAAACATAACTCGCACATAATTATGGTCGGTGTCGTGTAGTGCATTTGTCATGGCAGTCATGGCGAACCATAACATTTCGAGTCTCGGTGTTAGAAGGGTGTGTGATAAAATAAAACAGTCCCAGTTCTATAGATAACACGATAATGGATTTCTAAATGGCACGCTGGCACGAAACGTTCGTACATTTTGTTTAGCTTTTAAAATTCTCGTCATAAAATAGTGAGTTTAAGCGTCAGGGCTTTGCGTAAATTTGAAATGTTTTAGTCATAACCGGCGTGCAAACGCTAATCCCGTGCCAGTTTGCATCTTCTATTAATCTAATGCTCACAGTTGTAAATTGCAATAAATACGCATAGCTGTGGCACTAAGTACGCACCTAGCCCGGGTTTATGTTACGCTTTGTGAGAGTAACCGGGCTTATCTACGCTGTTTTATGACTATTTTACGATTATTGCCCCTTTGAATTGGTTATAACTTCGTACGATATGAAATTTCTATAAAGGAATAATTTTAAATGGACATGTTCATTTAAGTGGTTTTTACGGCGCTGTATTAATTTTTATAGCCACGGAGCCGGTGAGCTCGCCGTGCTGTTATTTAAATTTCATCTTCCACGTCGCACCGAGCACTGTGAGGCTTACGTCGATAAAAAATTAATTAATCATTCCGTCGAGCCCATGATCAATATCTATCGCGAAAATAAATCTCCATTTCTAAGTATTAGGTATATCAACTGAAATGTTATCCATCCATATATCTGTTATCAAGTTATTATATTTCGTATGAATAAAACGATTTTTATTAAATTCTATTATAGTATTTTGTATCTATTTTCCGGTTCACATAATAGACATTCTCTTACTCAGTCTACCTGAGCAATCCAGTCGCGATCGCCATCGCGATGTTTAAAACTGTTAGGATGTCTCTCATCTAATGAAACACTTGTTGTCGAAGAGTAGATGAGATGAGATAATTGTTGCAGGGCTACAATGGTGTGTGCGTGTGCGGGGCAGCGGGGGGCGGGCGCGGGCAGCCGGCGCGCATGGCGGCGCCAATGAGGGAGGGCGCGCCGGCCGGCGGAGCTCGCCCCGCGCCCCACGCGCACCCCGCCAACTTCGAGTACGATGACAACGAGTGGGACATCGGCATCGGCGACCTCATCATAGACCTCGATGCCGACATAGAGAAGACAGACGAGGCGGGCGGCATGGCGGCGCGCGCCGAACCCGACGCACAGCGCACCGCGCTCAAGATGAAGATCAAGCGCACGAAGCCTGGCACTAAAAGTTCCGAAGCCAAGCACGAAATCGTCAAATCAAACGAAATGAACGGCGAACCGAAGGCGTCGGCGCCCGCGCAAGCCGCGCCGCCCGCCGCCGCCAAGCGCGGCTCTGGGGGGCACCGGAGAGATAAGGCGCGAGACAAGCACCACCACCCTCATCCACCGCACGATGTGAATGGCGTGGCCCGCGTGCCACCGCCGCCCAACGCGCCTGGGCCGCCCGCGCCGGCGCCGGCGCACCCGGCTGCCCTGCCCGCGCCCGCGCAGCACGCGCCCCACGCCCCCCACGCGCCGCACGCCGCGCCTGCCGCTAAGCCGGAGCCGCGGCCAACGCCCGCGCCACGACTAGAGAATAAGCCCCCCGCGCCAGCGCCCCCAGCGCCTACGGCGCCCACGCCCGCGCCGCCCCCGGCGCCGGCGCCCGCGCAACTCCCGCCGCACACACATCATACCTCGCATGCGCCGCATGCACCCTCGACACCTTCCAAACCTGAACCTGACGACTCGCGGCAAGAAACACACAGTTCGCAGCCGCCAACCAAGAAACAAAAAACTGAACCTAAGGTACTTACTAATTTAAATTTAATCATATCCAAGTAGTTGGCTGTACCGTTATAATAAGCGTGAATGCCCATATTAGAACGTCTGATGCACCAGTGGCTAAAAACCACAATTGAACTGCTCAAATTAGCCACATCAACTGAGCATTGTTGCACACTCTTTTATTGGTCTTTTGACTTGTGATGTCTTCATCGACTTCTCTTCAAAAGAGTAAAATGTATTAGTAGTTACTATTGTTTAATCTTATTAAGTTTATACCAATGTCCCATCAAACTAGTACATCTAAACTTGGCCGTAATTTTCATAGATGGGCCCCATATTTTGTCGATTACAATTTACAATAAATTGACGGCTTACGTGCATTGAGCCCAAACCGGGTAAGCTAAGCTACACCTACGCGTGTCCAATGTGTCCGTGTTCACCCTTCCACAGGCTTTGTTATAGTTCACAAGCAGCTGGTATTGTCCCACGCTAAACATTATTGCGGTTGCAAGGTAGTCCGCTAAAGTTGTCCGTGCATTTTGCTAAGACACGATTCATTTCCTGTAAAGCTTATTTGAAGCCTCTTTGTTGGGTGTTGGCGCAGTTCAACTCATTATTTTGCATAACAATTTAATGAATCATGAACAAAGCAGGTACACAAACTCATCTTTAGTTAATCGTTTAAATGTCATCAGCTCTTTGGGAAAAGTATTTAGAGATGTTAATGCTTCCATCTTGGGTTTGTACAAATTAAAATAATAATTGAATTAAAAGAATGCGTTAACTGTTTGCAAAATAATGTAACCATCATAATAACAGAGAAGTTTAGACATTAGTAATCTATCGATCACCCATCGTCGTTGATAACGATAATCGTGCGCTAATCGTCCGATTGCTCTTATCGCATGTGTATCCGATTGTTTCGGAACAGTGTATTTAATTGTCCGGGCTTAGGGCTGTTTGCGAGCTTGATTGAGTGCAAACGGTCGTGGGGTGTAATCCGGGCCTGTCGCCTGCCGCATCGGTTCATTAAATCACCCCGAGCGGGCCGCCCCCGCCCCGCGCCCCGCCGACGTCACAATACCCGCTGCACTCCACAAATTAATGCGATTGTGGGCTCCGTGGCAAATAAGGCTGTGTATCTTCGATGCAGAATTGCTGAAGCCAAATTATACAGTACCAATCTACCGACACTTGAATCTAGAGATGTACATTGTATAATTTGATCTGCATTCGAGATTGTTTTGTTACATAAACAGGAATTGTTCACTTGTTATATGTGAACATATCCGATTAAAGATTAAAATCTCTTGACAACAGCATGTTCTGAATTTATAAATTAAGAATACGTGTCTATGACTAGAAAGCGATCATAGAACTGCAAAGTTAGCCCGGCGGTGGTCTTTACACAAGTATCAAGGAGTTAATGTTGCAAGTTGTCGTGCGCGCTACACATACAGAACGGTATAAGTAATGGGTATCGGGCTCGTTAACTCTTCGTAATCACCGGCCGCTTTCCCTGCCTCCAATAAAATTACTCCGTTAATAAAATACCTCCAATGAAGAATCCTCGTCGGCTTGTGCACCTGCATGCAATGAACATCTTTCACAATGCTTAAGCGAATGCACGACACGCATCATTAATCATGGCGACGTGACTCCGGGGTATTGCCAAAGGTTTATGCAAACCACGCGTCTCGTATGAACTCATCACGCTCAACCACATCAAATTATGGTTAGTTTGTTACATTTAAGTTTATCAACGACAGCTGCTTGAGCAATACCGCGTCCGCAATATTTTATGGCTCAAGCAAGATTACTGCGTCGCATAAATGTATGGGGTGAATCTAAGATGAAGGGACTCGCTCCCTTTCGCTTTTCTTGTTATTATTCGCTGGAGGGTTGCGAACACATCGCAGTCTCTAAAATTCCATTCATTAATCACTGTCGGAGCTCTAAAAATTTCTAAAGTGCCCGTGGAATCAATTTAACGTTCGCCCTCTAACTGGGAAACTTTGTCAGCGTGATAATTAAAGACGAGATATCAATTTTGAAGTCTTTACTCCAGTCTTACAATGTTCAAAGATTTAATCCACTTAGTCTTATTAAAAATATGATGGCGTACAACACAAACTTGACGCAAAACAGAGAGGCGTTGAATTTCTTTTGAAATCTTACTTATAAAGCTCCGATGTTGTATTGGAATAGTTTTGAAGTGTTTTTGTTGAACGATAAATTGTTTTCAACGGATTTTAACATTATATGAAGCAGTGAAAGACAATCGTTTAATTGGTATGTGTATTCTCGATTCGTTTCACACGATAATGGTATTAATTCCGTTACGTGAGAGTTGAAAGTTGAGTTAATCCTCTTTATTTGCCTAGGGTTACCCTGACCATTGTCTGGTGTTGCCACTTAACTGTCGTATAATACAGTATTATTGTGACCGAACCTCAGATGAGGGGTGATACCCTCGTCAATAATTTTCAATTCGTTTGGTTCAAGCGCGTTCGCTGCAGTAATGCGCCTTTTAAACTGTCAAAACGCGTTTCATATCGTTCCCCTATTAAAATTCATGTCGATTGATATAATTGTAAACGTTTAATGATGTGAAAGATCAACTTTGTAAAAAAACTTGTATAAGATCTAAATGCTGAGCAACAAAACGCTGTTCTAGTTCGTTCGTCATTTCTTTTTTAATTATTTTACGTGTAGTGTAGCACACAATAACTACGTCAACTACCTATTTAATAGAAAAAATAATTAAAAACTTATACCAGATACAACAAAAAATATTAATATTGTCTGTCTGACAAAATTAAGTATTTTAAAAAATCGATCCCACAGCGCAATAAAAAAATTAATAAAATAAAATGTTATAAATAACATTTTTGTATGTAAGTTGGCAAAACATGGTGATAAAACTCATTTTAATAGCTTGATTTAAATTAACATAAAACAGATTACACTTCGTTTTTTACATGTATTTAAAGTAACGAGTATAAACTTAGATAATTACGGTCTAATAAATACTAGGCAAACACATACAATCTTTGTGTACAAAATAACTGGTGTATAAGTTGCCCAGTTTATTAACCACCAATCGGTCAAAACATCAGTTTCCCTTTTACAAAGAGACAAAGAGATTGCCATATTATATGATTCCATGTACGCCAACACTCGCTGGAATAAAATGAGTGTTACTGACCCAAATTGAAGAATTAATCAACAACTCCAATACATTTTTTGTTTATATCCATTAAAATCAATTTTGAAGAACTATGATTATGCACAATAAAAAAGAGATCAGCAGGATTAATTTATAGCCGTGGTCGATGTGATAAATTAATATAATTTCTATCAAAGTGACCAGGGGAGCATGATATTTAACATGTATATGTCGTCACAAATGAGGTTAATAGCACCGCAGCGCTCGATTATACCGATCGCTCTGAATAAATTTACATGTTGATTGCCGGCTGATCAGTGTTCTCACTAAACTAACTGCTAACTGGCTGCCAAGCTCACCGCTTACATTAAATAAATATGTTTGAGCTTGTGCCGCAAGTCACGCCAATTGGAAAATCAATTTCTGTCTTGTGCCACTGATTGTACAACGCTTTATGTTCTTTGCTTCTATAACTCTTAGGGAAATAACCACAAAAGCACTTATCTTCTGGCCAGTCTCATCATATTTTATATGTATTTATTAAACAAACTGTCAACTGACTGAACTGTTTAACCCAAAGTTACATAAAATCTGCCTGTACGCGAATATCCAAAAAAGCAGCGCCGGGCGCTAGTGCATAATGTATCGAGTGGAATCTGCAAAATTGAACCGTCTCTGACGTGAGTGATAAATTCCATTGAATTTTGCGCTTCAACAACTTTATTTAACGTCGATCGAACGCATGTATCGCGTTACCCGCTTCGGGCGTATCATCATTCATTTAAAAAAGCGTTATTGCTTCAGCCAAACTCCATCTTGAAGCCGTGAATTAAAATTTTAATAACCTATACACGGAGTAATTGATTGATACGATAAAATAAATGGGCTATCGTACCTCGCCATAACTCCCTCGTAGGACGGCGGCGCGCGGTGGAACGAATCGCAATAATTACTATAAACGCAGCAACCATCATTATTTTACTCGTTCACAGTGATCGTGTCGGCAGGATACGCCATAGAAATAGCTGTGTTGTAAAACTTTATGTCTGCTCTATATGAGGCAGCAGACAATCGTTTTGATCTCGGTTACGACATACGTAAGCCTGAGGCATTAATACGTGGAAGTATGTGATTAGTAAATTAATTCCCAGCCTGAACGAGAACTATGAGGAGTAGACAATAAAGTGTTAGTCTGTATTGGAAGTTCATAATGGTATAGATGAAGACGGCAGCGGGCGCGAGGAGCGGTGCGCCAGCTGCCGGCGGCTACTGTGTAATTATTATTGGCGTAATTAGGATGTGAGGCCGGGCAAGGCCCGCGGCGCCGACAGCGCGCTCTAACAAATGCCATTATTATTTCCGCTTCGTATTATACTCGGCTGCGGTTTGTTACGTCCTCGTTTATTATGTCATGAACAATTGAAACGATAATAAATATTCGCTTCTGCAAAGCAAATTGATTCAACATTAATTGCAGCGATCTGTAAGTTATCACGATTCACGCTCCGCTCGCTTCCACTCCGTTCTCGGCGTGCACAGTTTATGTTTACTGTTACTTATTTAACGGTTTTGCAATTTGGCTGAGTAACTGAATATTATTCCACTCGAAATGTTTGCTGGCCAATTGACAGCTGCTATATTGAGTCGTGTCGAACGACCCCTATTATTACTTCAATTAACATAAAACTCAATCTGTCATCAGGACGGTAACGTTAGGGTTGCGTTCACTTCTATTTAGATTCCCCGTCTTATTGTCATGAAGACATTTAGTGAGTTGTACGTTGTACGGTACTTTGGTTGTAGGAGAGCGTGTTGGCTCGGCTGTGGAGTCGTTTCGTATTTAGTCGACCGG